CCATATTAATATTCTGTTTGACCTTGCAATTTCTGAATAACTGAGAAATTATTTCAAATAACTGAAAACAATTTTTATGTATTTAATTGAGCATTACAAAATCACATTATGAAAGAATAACAGAGAAAATGGAGTCAGGTGCAGCTCTCTCTTTGCTAGTAGATTTTCACGCACACCTCAGAACGAATTACAGCAGAAGAGCAGGTTATGTACATTTTCTGAGTGTGTCAGTTAAACATGCCTGTGCTTCTGTAGGCCACATAAATGTTAATTTCCATCTTTATTCCAGTTCTTGAAACTCTTCAATAACAACTCAATCAATACAACCTTATCTTAAAAAACTAAGATCCCTATTGACTGCTTTAAAAACCCCCCACCAAAACAACACCCCCCCAAAAAAACCCCAAAGTACATGGATACAATTTCAAGCTACAGGCCTGTTATATTACTTTGATCTGGACACTTGATCAATATAATGTAGGATCTTAACTTTTTGCCTCATAGCAAGCAAATGATACTTACTGTTTTGTGAAAGGTAGTGAGAAGTGATGGATGCTCTTGGAATAGAGTTCCTCAAAGATGTGTTTCTACTGCAGTGAAGGTGAATGATTTCTCTGTCCTTTCCTGAAGGTATAACAGAAAGCTTGTCTTCCTAGATTAAAGACAGAGTACCCCTAGTTTAATGGGCTACAAGATACAACCGTATATACCATCACCCGTACAAAACTATTTGGACTATATAATAACTTTAGCCTAGGAACAACACTGTGCAAACAACTGTTATCTTTTGAAAGCCTTGGAGAGGCTGGTGTGAGAAAATTCCTCAGGAGAGAGAATAGCTTCCTGCTTTTCATCTGTGTTTTCCTTCTCCCAAGTGAAGCCAACAGTACCTTCCCAACAGAGCAGATCCTTCTTATACCAACATTTAATTTCCCCACAACATTCAAAGTGCCATAGGAAAGCTGCTCTGGGGCTCACTGCCCCCAGCTTTGTCCTCATCCCTTATTCACCTTCATGCCCCTTCCAAACCCACCCTAACCTGCAAGTATTACAAGGAGGAACCAGAGAGATGGAAGTGAGTGCCGTTCCAAAACTGATTAATGTTTTAGGCATAAGGCTAGGGAAGGTCAACTTCAGTACCTCAGAGACCAACCCCTTTTTCAAGGTCCAGAGAAAATAAATCTGAGGACTGGCACCAGTACTATTTTTATTTTGTTGTTTTTTTACTTATTTTCTGTAAAAAATAATACATTTTAAAAAACCCACTAACTACAGAACAGGTGCAGGACTAGTGTCAGGAAAAGCAAAATAGCCATTTCTTCTCTTTCAGCAAGCTGTAGTTCTCAATACACACATACTTTGAAAAAAGAGGTGCAGCAGAGGTAGAAGCAGCTTGATATGCTCCAGCTGCATCATGCAGCAATAGCTTACCAAAGTAAAACATCCAACAAGCTAAGGGTAGGCAGGAAAAGGCAGTTTTGTGTTAAGAGTATTGCAAAAGGTCTGCAGCCTCATACACCTGTTGTCAAATAAACAAAGAAGAAATGAAGTGGGACCACTTGGCTGCCTCAAGTGCAATATTAATTCAGACTCTGCAGTACCCAACACAACCCACTAAACACAGTCACCACTCTGTTGACAGCGCAGGCAAAGTCATGTCATAGCCCCGCAGGCCAGCTCAAACACACACTTTTCTCCTGCACTCTCTCCTCCAAATAGCAATTCTCTGCCTCCGGGGGCATTTGGGGATCAGCTCCCAGCCTCATCCTGCAGGGCTACTCATAGGCACCCACCACTTGTGAAAGGCTCTGCCCTCTGCGGGCCACTAACTGCTGAGACTTCTGAGAACGTGCTGGGCTGAGGAAAGGCAAGTGTGGGGAAACCCAGCTGCAGCTTGAGCAGAAAGAATGTTTTTCCTCTCCCACCACAGTTCCCAATACTCCTCTGTACCACTTCCCAAAGATCTGTCACTTTGTGTTACAGCAACCCCTTGGCAAATAGAAGGATTACAACCTCTAACCACAGAAGGAATTAGAGGAAGATATAGGCACAATAGTGCACTGACAGTATTTCCCAGAGAAACTGAAACAAGACATGTCCAAGGGACAGCATTTGCTTTTATTAAAAACATTCTAAAAGGTTATTTATAAAACGCATTTCATCAGCAGCACCGAATTAATTAACATAGACTTCATGAGGCATCTTACACTTTCAAAATTTCAACTTGTAGAACAAGCTTTAGCTGTATAAATTTGTTACACACCAAACACCACAGGCAACCATACACAGATTTCAAGGCTTGTTTGTAGAATATTTAAGTCTTAAATTATCAGTTTGAAGAGAGACTTTTGGTAAGTAGTACATGTGCATACCTGGAATTGGACACTTAGTACAGTGGACTCCTCTTTAAAATAGGATGGTTTGTGCCAAAATACAGTACTAAAAGTTAAGATACAAAATAAATAATTTGATTGCAGAAATCAGAAAAGTTATTTAATAAATAAGGATGCATTGTGAGATATCCAATGTACAGTAACTTCTCTATTAAAAAATGTAATCTGTATAGAAATCTGAATAAATACCCTTTGTGAAATTTTTTACAAGTAAACAACACACCCTTCCCTTTTAATTCCCAGATGAACACTGGAGGAAGTTTAACTGGAGAGTGAAGAATTATGTGCAAGAAAAAGAATAAAGTACTTCATTTATTTGCATTGAGAGTTTAACAGTTCAAAGGGGACTCTCCCAGCTAACTTGTACCAAAACTGCAAAAAAGCTTTTAATAGTCTAATTTCACTGCAGTATGGTTCTATTTATTTATACAGGCCTGCTCATTTTTCTCATTTTACACAGTACATTAATAAAATGAAGACTAAAAGACCTACTGTAAGTTCAGTAGGCTTGGAGATGAATTACAGCAGGGCAGAAGGAAAGGCCACAATGACTCCAAAGACACTGGAATTCATGTTGAATTAAATTCATACATTTGTATCTGCAAGGCAAGGACCCAAACAGCAATTGCCTACAATAACTGGCTACTGTGTATTGGCATTCATCCATGATTCCACTGGAGAGGCACTTCTTTCAAGTCAGGGGTTGCAGTTCTATCCACCTTGGGCACTTATTTTCTGTAACTGTGCAACACTTACTTTTGAACACGTTATCATATGTTACTGGAGGTTCCATTTGGCCTGAGAGACAGGGTCACTTTCAAAGACTTAGAAAAGCAAAAAAATCCTCAAATAAAAATGAATCACTTTGGTTTTCAACTTAAGGAAATTAAACAGATGTTAGGGATATTTTGGGAATCCTCTGTGAAGTTAAGCAATTCTGATGGAACGCTGTGTGCAACTATGATTCAATTTAAGAAGATTTTAATTGGATTATTTAAAAAATGTTTAGACAATAGTTATGCGAACAGCTGAATCAGCACAATTGATTTATGGTAGTGCCATAAATCAGGCCTACTGCCAGGAAACTAATAAGCCTATTTTAATATAGTAAAAGGTTAAAAAATAAATCTAAGCCCTGCACTTTTTGTTGGGTTTTTTTTGCAAGCTTAATAAAAGGAAAATTATTCTGGACCATACAAGAAAAAGCTCAGAACCACCTGTTACTGGAGCTTACCTGATTAAGACTGGGTTGATGGATGTTGAAGCCAGTCTTAGCTAAATGAAGTGCTTTCATTGTAGAAAGTTCTACACAGATACAAGAATTCACCTGGCCTTTAAATATTGATTTAATCCTCTAAAGAGAGCAGAACTGTCACCAGTATTTTTCTTTCCAGATAATTATTTTTTTTTCTCCCCATGCATTTGCTAGATAGCTGGGTAGCAACCTATTTGCGTAAAATAAAGTTTTACAAAGTGCTACCTCAAATCCTGAGTTAGACACACTGCTTCCTTCCCAAAAGGACAGGTACAACCTGTGATCTCTGTTCAGTTTAGACTGGGGATATGACAAAACTAAAACCAGAAATACAAGCTAAAAAGTAAGAAACAGCTGGGTGAATTTTCCTTGACTAGGACTAAAGGAACTAGTCTTCATCCAGGCAGTCCCTTCTGCCCCACCCTTTCTCCTAAAAACAGTACAGCCTGGGGTACTCCCTGGCAAAGACATCACACACTTGTAGATGTGCAACAATTAAATTTGTGTTGATCAAATTCAAGGGAAGATGTACAGGTGTGGCTTTAAGATACACAAAATCACTGCAGCTTTCAAACAAGGTGGAGGGAGGTATAACTAGTTGGCGATATGCCCTTGTTTTCTGTGGAGAACATCAGTGGTATGTCAGCAGCACCTGTATGTCAACCATCAAAACCCGATCAGGAAGCCAGCCCTTGGAGACACATGATGGAACTCCACACCAGCAAGAACCAAGTTTCTTAATACCATTTGGCTGAAACACGAGACAGTTTGCCACATAACCTCAGTAATACCATTGTGCTGTTATGAACAGCAGGAAAATCAGGTGAATGCATAAGTCTCATTCAAGCTGACACATGCCTTTTAGAAAGGTGCTTAAATGCCCAGATGACTCAATTTAATAAATAAATTTAAGCTCAACATTGTTACTGCTATGTGCATTAACACGGCTTCATAGTTTTTCAAAGTAAATAGAATGGGCCTGGGAATACCTACAGTACCATAACACATTACCCCTAACCTTTGGTCACACTTCCTTTAAACATTTTAAAACAGACTTCTTCAGGATTTGCTAATAAAATTTAGCAAGAAAATATGAGTGTGTCATTACTAGCTTTTTCATCCAAGATCCAATCTACAAGCAAGTACGGGACACTTCAGAACTTTCAAAAAAAATCAGTCGTACCTTTAAAGTAACATCTAGCTTCAACAGTTAAGGGTCCCGTAACACCGAACAGGAATAGATAAAAAAAATAACATAATATGGCTAAGATTAGGCTCCAGTGCCAGTCAGGTAAGTATGCACCATCACAGTACGCTTTTGGAGATGCAAAGCAATGGGGAAGAGTTTATATTCAGTTAAAATTAGTCTTCCGTAAACGCTTATTAGGAATCTCTATAGCGCTGACTTGGAGAGGCCAGGAGCCACCAACAATTCCTGCTTGGATAGCTACGCCTGTGACAACTGCTAGATCAGGATCTACAGAGGTGTTAGGTTCCTTTCCAAAGAAATCCTGAATAACTTTGCGTATTTGAGGAATCCGGGTGGAGCCTCCAACTAACACAATTTCATCTACTTCTGCTTTGTGTAGGTGGCCTTCCTTCAACACCTGTTCAATGGGCACAAGAATCTTCTCAAAAAGGTCCTCATTTAACGTCTCAAATAGCTTCCTAGAGATTTCTCTTTCAAACATGACATGCACATAGTTGTTCTCTACTTCTGCAGTGTCTCCAAGATTTTCCAGGTCTTTTGTCTTCTGTGAAGGGCCTTCCAGCACAGTGTTTGTTTCTATCTCACTTTCTGAAAGTTCCTTTGTAAGCTTCCTTTCTGGCATAGTCAACGACACCCGTAGTGTAGCTGCCTCATGAACAGTCAGATTTAATTTAACTGCTTCCACAGCCTGTCTCAGGCGATGTATTTCTTCTTTTCTTGTTGGCAAAGAACCGTACATTTGATGGAGCTGATCATATAAGTACAGCATCAACCTCTGATTAAAATCCTGTCCTCCAAGTTTGTTGTTACCTGAAACATCAGAAAAGAAGGCATCAGACACAGCATCTTCAAAGCTTCAGAAAGCAACACCCATCCTCTCTTTTATAGGGAGGTGGTGCACATGGGCCAGAACAGTGATACTAGGACCATAAGCATAACACAAGAGCTCACAGAGCTGGGAAAAAGAGACACAATTGTTGTCCAATGAAGAACACATGATGAACAAGAAATTCCAAATTTTTATTTAGTAACCATTTTAGAATTTATTCCCTTCAATCTTTCTCCCCTGGAACC